GTTGGGGTAATATTGAGAAGCGCAAGACCAGCAAAAATGTAATAGAATGTTCACGAAGATCTCATCATGTGGATTACGTTTCCATTAAAGCGCTTTGTCTTCGTCTTGTTTTTAATGCCCTAGAACGTTTCGTCTAGCAGTTATTTCACGACAATATTTTAAAAATTCCTACCGAGTGTGGATACTTGGCTGTCCGGAGTGAGCCGCGTCCCAGTCGATCGAGCTGTTTCGGCCTTAGTGTTGTGGCATCCTTTAGAGTATAGCTCGATCGACAGATTCCGGCCGCGGAAGCATACGAATACATCTATTGAGGGTGTTGCGGGTTGCATTGTCATGGCTTTTTGTTTTGTTTTACAGCGACATGTAGTGATTTTTTTCGATGTTTCAATTGTTATTCTGCTATTCGGGGCGGATACGAATCCAACGAATTAGAGATAATTAAAATTGGTCCAGCCGTTCTTGAGATATAAATGCTATAACTAACCCAACTTTGTTTTATACATACGTGTGTGTTACAAAAAAATATTATTAATATTACTAATACTATTATTATTACTGTTACTATTATTATAATATTATCATTATATTATTATTAACACTATCATTCACTGTTTCAGATGTTCTTTTCTAATGGTGCATTTTTAGCAGAAAGATGGGCCCCATAACTAGAAATCATTGATACAATCAAATTATATAATTCCTACAATAGAAAGTTAGTGAAGAATCATCAAATTTATGATCAATATGAGATTTAATTTGGCTGATAAAAAATTCAAAATATCCAAAAATCCTGATTGCAAGGGAAAGCACTTGACAAGGTTTTACAATGAGAGATTTTTCTTTCCATTTATTTTTATTAGCTGGTAACTTGCTATAGCTAATCTGCCTTCAATTGAAATGCAAATTCTTTGAAGAGTAAAATAATTCATAAAAATACAAAATACTGAATTCATGCTTTCAAATTTTGAAAATTTTAATCTCTCTATTTTAACAAGAAATATTCCCAAAGGACATTCATTATAGAATTACTTTTGGAAATCAACATTTATTTGCATGCCACTACTTGCATAATTACATTGCATTGAAATCTAGATAAGCATTAAATAAGCAGATGTGGACATCATAATCCAATTTTGCAGATTTACAGCTAATTCTAAAAAAACAAAAAACTTTACAGCATAATTACCCATACACTAGCACACAAGCTGCCAGGAGTGCAATATGGCAACTTGCCCAATGATGCGCCAGGCCACTTTACTTCCACTACATCTTTACCATGACCCCAATTGTGGGCCCAAAAAAAATCATGCACTTACATGCTATTTGTTACATTGCTATTTACAGCTTGGATGTATATTTGAACTTGTATGTTGGATAGTCCAAATGCAACATATCTATGTGCATCTCTACATTTACGCAAAGTAAATATACTGCACAAATAAAAAAAATTTCAAATAACATGCTTCTGTATTCCAACTTTGGAAATATAGATGTCGTCAAATACTTCTCAATAAAGACATTAAAAACTGAAAAATATGTTCAATTACTGTAGAAAGGAAATATTTTACAATAGAAAATTGACAACAAGCATTACAAACACAAAGAAACCAAATATCAGTCACATAAAGCAATACAACAATGCACAACAGCAAAGAAACTTAGGATAAAGAACACAAAAAAGGTTCTTTGGAAAACATCACAAATGAAGGTTGAAGCTCTAAAATTGAGAAATTTTACATAGTAGCAGCATGTTAAGCAGTCCGAGAACTCAACAAGATGGAAACATTTCAGTTGAGTGACATTATAAGGAAGAAAGATTCAAATCTATTTACTCAAACAATTGCAAAAACTACTCTTTAAAGAGAAACACAATAGATTATCTATAAATATTAAATTTAAACAAGGACCCACAAAAGAATACACTGGTGTACTGAACTACTGGACTAAAAAAGCAACAAACTAAATTCCATATTTCAAAGACAAAATGCAAATTCTGAATACTCTGCATATAGTACCCTGCATACTACAAAACATACCCCGAGCAAAACAAAACCCAGAAAAGGCTTGCAAGTAAACATTGGCACTTTGCTAGAAAAATAGCTACCAAAAAAAAGCAACAGATAATCCCCTAACAAAGCATACTGCAGAAACAAGAAACGGCTTGAAATTCTATACCCTGAGCACACATCATCCCCTGAGCAACCTGTAAGCACCAGGCCCAATCTAATTACAATTCAAAAAAGAAAGCTGCTGTTCAACAGCCTTAGCAACTTGACAACTCACCAGTGATGGCACTCATTCTGCTTTGCACTTGAGACTTGTCACTTGAACATTAGCCCTCAAATCTCAGCCAGGAAGAAAGATCCTACAATTACCCTATCAACTTATGGGTGCACTTCACAACAATTTTGGAATAATATAAAATGTTATTTCGAAGTGAATACATTTCAATTCAATTTGAATGCCTAAAGTGCTTTTTAAGAATGTTCATTCAAAGATTGAAAATTGAACATGATTTGACAAGCATTGCTGATAAACTGCAGTGCTTCATAAAAGATTTTGTAGGTTGGAGATAAGAAGAGCATTATTTAAATTTCTTTAATTTGAAAAGATAATATAGAAGGAATTAACTAGCGTGTCTTTATTTAATTTATTTTTATTATTTTTATAATACAACATCTAAAATGCTGGTCTAGTTTTACTGAGTGCACACATACACAAATGAACAGAACGAAAGGAGTTCTGCATTTCTAATTCACTACCTCAGAATTGACATTCTCCAAATCTACAAAGTTGATCTTATTAATAAAAATATACACACAGGGGGCAAGACGTGCAAGAGTCGAGGCAGGTATTGATCAATCATGCCAACATTAGTGTAGAATTTATCCGAGGAGAAAAATACTTACCAACACGAGCACCTGTCGAGTGCAAACAAAAAAACAGAAAAACAATTTTAATTACAGAATAATAGGTTAGTCACTTGAATCAGTGGAGTACTATTTCAAAGGGGAACATTTCTAAGTTTATTAATTGTGAAAATAATTTAAAAAGTGAAGATGCATGAAAATTTATTTTCTACGTACTCCAAGATACCAAGTTTTATGTTTTTTTATGACAAGACAAAAGGTATTAATGCATTTAAAAGCAATTACTTTTCTTCAACAACAATACAATGATAGAACTTTTCATACTTGTGAAAATACAATTTGCATCCTCACCTTGCACTCCACTTTTGTCTAGGAAGTTGCTTAATTGGAATGTGCTATTACTCGATGCTAAGTACTGTGTAAATCGCTGAAAAGGGAGTAAAAAGAATATTAGTAGAACATCAAACCCTTAAGTTTTAAATTACACTTTTCTGTAGCCATAACAACATGAACTAAGATGTTCATGAAGAAGATAAAAGCAGTTTTTCGAACAATGAAATAAATTATGGAATTTTAAAAAGTCTATTCTAATAGAATTACAATTAATTTTACATTTGTTGAAATGCATTTTAATGGCATGGATGAACTTATACTTTTTATAAAAATTTCTTTTATTTTTATGGTTGTATGGTGCAAAATTCATCAGATGAAATGAACATCAAGATTAAGTTTAGAATAAACAGTCAAAATAAGATTCCATACCTCGTTGCCATAACAAAGCATATGATGTACTGTAATAAGAGCTTTGAACACCACTACCCAATTTGTATTTTGTGAACGTTCTATTAGAAGGTTGGCCATCTGAGGAATAGATACATTGGGTTCATTCGTGCAATGTATCAAATCTGAAAAGAAAGAAAAAGGTCATTAGCATTTTTCATTACACAAAAATCACATTTGTAAACATCACAGATTATTTTCCGCAACCCTAGTTCCCTGAAGATTAATTAAAAAAGTACTTCTTTGCAATGGTTATCTTTATTCAGAAAATGAAAGTACGCCTTTCCATAAATAAAGCGATTTCTTCATGATTCTTGTACAAAAATAAACTAGTGGTGCTACAACACCACCTATTTTTTCTTGTTTCTAAAGTCGTAATTTTCGAAAATTCTGAGACGTCAATGAAATTAAGACCAAGTCATTCTTTTAAGTGTTCCTTGTCCTAAGCGTTATAAAAATTTGGGTTGGATTTCGAAAATGTTTATGTTATAAAATGCATTCATTTTAAGGCTCTGAAATACACAAAAAGTACTCAAATCTTAAAAAATTGTACAGGACTTTTTTAAAGAGGTGTTTTTGAAAGATAAAGTACAGACTTGGCCTTACGCAAAAACCTTTATCTTCAGAATTGAAGTTTCAAAATGTTAACTTTTTGGAGCTTTCGAAAACAGTTCGCCGAAAATGTAATTATGGTCACATTTTTTACCATTCCGTAATACACGCAAGGAAAAAATTTAAAGTAACATTTTGCAAGGGGATTTAAGAAAAAAAATGTTTTCAAAAATCAAAAATTGCTTATAATTGGCGCCACATTTCACGAAAACTACTAATTTTCGAAAAACCTTAACATTATCTTATTTCAAGACCTGTCTTTAAGGAAAGAAACTATCTTGAATATTTAAGTTTTAGGAAGAAGCCCCACAAAAAATTACACTTTTGCAATTAAAAAAAAAAGTATTTCAATGAACATGAAACAGGATATTACTAGGGTTGTTTACTATAGTGGTATATATGTAGTAGATTGACAATGCTTGAGACTTCTTGTAGAAGCCTATGAGCAAAAAAAATCACGAGAGGTGAACCATGATGGATAAATTGTGGATGGAAAGACTGTCCTATTGTGTTGTGGGCTACTACTAAACACTTGCCCACGCCTTACACAGGACTATCTGCATACTTAAGACAGTGCTCCTAGGCGCAGGAACTTCGACACCTACAGATTTTTACGTGTTATCTCTTAAAATATTCGTAAGTTGCTAATCTTTCATTAATTTTTATTGTTTCAAAACTTAAATTACCTCTACACATGCAATACAAGATACTCTCACACTTGTGTTGGTCAACACGACTCATTCTTGACGGACTAAAATGAAATAAAAGCAAGAGGAGGGGAGGGGCACACGATCGTTTCTTCCTCAGAGTGCACGGTCAATTTGGCCAGGCGGTCAGCAGAACTCTGGGGGGCGATAGGAAAGGTCCATTTCCCGCGGGAGCAACGACCAGTTGAAGCCGCCACTCGCAAGGCAAGTTCCTGCGTAGTAAACCTCCGACACACGGCGAGAACGACTTCCACAAATACACACGTGCATCAGCAAATGCACCACAACTCTTGACATTTTAAATACGTCCACATTTATTGTTATTTTGCAATTGATAAGTATTTAAATTCTCCAAATTAAGAAGATTTCCCCACCAATGGAAACCGAAGCATAATCTCTAACCATTCAGGTATTCAACAAAATAACCCGCCATTCATAAACTCTTCTTTTCCAACCTACATCTTCCAATTTACAATTCATCGGAGGACCGAAGACTGTATTTTTGTCTTTGTGTAAATACATAAGAGGACGGGTAGAATTTTATGTAAATAAAATTTCGTGTTTCGATAAAAGCAAACCAAGAATTCATATCCAACCTACCCGCTCGTCATTCAATTCACCTGGCAATAAGTTCGTAAGAGAAACGGCTTAAAAACACGGAACTACACATATCGAACACGTTTTCTTGGAAGTCAAGTGTGATATGTATGTGGTAATAATGTAGAAATAATAGGCATTTTACAGTTACGAGTTTGTTTCCACAATACAAACGGGAAGGAAGTGATCCTGAACAACGCAAATGTAACAAAAGCCATTTGTACAAAATACGAAATAAGTAATGATTAGGGAAAGAAAAGTGGAAAGGAACACTGGAGAACAAAAACTGGGAGAAAGAGTAGAATTTAATAAAAAAGTGTGGAAGTCAAGGTTTAAATATTAAATCAAAAGGAAAGTCTTAGCTTTGCTTCATGCACTGGCTGCTGTTCTCTTACATCACATTTCACTTATTATCCACAAATAGTTCACCTAACAAATACATTTCGCAAATGAAAAATACATAGTCAGATATTTTTAATTTTCTTATCCCTCCTGAATGATAAAACATTTTATTCATTAATCGTTTCCCTGATGTTCTTGATCTGCTATAAAATCTGTAAGGCTCGTTTTCTAATTCTAATTCTAACAATCGACTGGTATTATACCTTTTCTTGTATTACCGACTTTGTCATTTTATTAATTCAATCACAAATTCTTCACATTTCCCACATCGTTCATTACAATTACTTTCCATAAAGTGAAACAAATACTTTGAAAAAAAAACAAAAAACAATCCACGCGATCATGCGGTCGCGTAAAGCGAAGATTGCGAAGCTCCAAATAAACCAAGTCAGGCCGTCCAAACGGGGTTGCAAAGAGCGGGCGACAGGGAGGGAAAGGGCGTGGAGGACAAGGAGGGCGTGAAGGCGGGTGCGGGGATGAAGAGGGTGCGCGCAGACGCAAGAGAACGCGGAAGGCCAGGCCTGGCGGCGCAGTCGATACTACCGCGGTCGCCGAGCACGTGACGCGGATTAAGGTCAGGGCCGCGCCGCCGTAATTCGGCGTTCGCCGAGTACCCCGCCCCCTCCATCTCGCCACTTACGCACGGGCCGTCGCGGCGCGCCGCCGTCGCCGCCGTTTCCACCCCCACATGGTCTGCCTCCAGCCGGCGGCGGTCCGCGACACAAGCCAACACCCCGAGACGCCGCGCCAGGCGGACGTTCACCCCTCCAACACGAGGCGACGATAAAGCGCTCGTCCATTCGTACAAATGCGAAACGTACAAAAAGAGAGGTTGTGCTCAAAGAAATTATTCTCTTGAGAAAATTTCCTTAAAAACGCTACCATAAGACCAGAGATAGTGATGAAATTTTTTCGTACGTAAATATTTAATTTTAAGTCGAGAAGTGAGTATATTCGGGAAATAAGACTCCTTGACCGCTAATCGTACGCATGTTGCACGTTAGTGCGATTACGTATTCGATAATTTAATCTTTGATTGGAAAAGAGAGGAAAGTCCGTTCTCCTTGTGTGGAAAAACTAATTGGCATCAACACAATATGATTATGTTTAGTGATGTATTGGTACAGTTCTTTTTTACGTCCAAGTAACGTTTATCTTACCTTAGGATCTATTTTCAAAATATTTCCGTCTCTATAGAGAACCCAAATTTAATGTAACAAATTAATTCTCAACCATTACATTTCTTGAATCAAACGTACTTTAAAAATTCTAACAAACAATGAAATTACCATCTTACGGGAGCAAAAGGCATCCATGAGTAGTGTTGCTTCTCTGTTTTTATCATCCATATAACTAGATCTTTCATCTCTCCACTTTCCCAGTCCTTTCTATCGCCTTACAGGAAAATTTGAATAGGTTCACATCTACTTTTTACATTAAAATATTTAAAAAGGAGTAGGATAATAAATCAAAGTACTATAACCATATATGACGAAATATGAAGGTACCCAAAGTGAAAAAATGTAAAAGTAAAAATTGTAGATCACATTTTGAATACAGTCGACTCCCGTTGTAGTGAACCCTCGCTTACAGTGAGCCCAAGTCTCTGGTCGTGTTTCACTTACATTAAAAATATGCATAAGAAGATTCGGTTATAGTGAACCTGAACGTCAGTTACAGGACATACGACCTGTAAATTAATATTCTCTCGGAAAATAATATATTGACTCAGGGCCACAAATTCCAATACTAGGCAGCTTGAAAATAATATCAGCCAAAGCTCATAATCCAAGAAGTCTCCCCTGAGGTGAACGTACCGGACCCGGATTGGGGTCCTTACTGATGACCTCATGCCACTCCGTTTCAAGCTTGATGTTACTGATATTCCACGTGTAAAAGCGCGTTTTATTCTACGTAGGCGACAGGAAGCGCGCGATTGCTACAGCCCCACAGGCTCCCGATACACGCCGTGCCGCGCGATCAGTTTCATTAGCCCCTTACGCATTTCCGCTACCGAAAGGATCTCGACTTACAAGGCGAGCAAAATACCTTCTGAAGAGTGGGGCTTCCAACGGTGCACGAGGTATTCAAGGGTGCCAAGACTGCTTTACGATACTTTCAGACAGTGGACGTTGCAGGATCAAGTATGGAGAGAGCACGAACTCTGAAGAAGGATCTAGAGAAATTGGTAATGAAAAATGTACCAAGCGAACAATTAAAAATTCTTGATTTTTTAAAGAACAAATTAAGATATTGAAATTTTTAGTTCATGTTGTTAATGTACTAATTTCACTATATCTACATATATTAATAGAATTATTATTTGTACAGAAATTCTATTTAATTTTGACATCCTCTGATACAGTCAACCAAAAATGTCAGTCCCCAGAAAATCGCTATAACCGGAGTCGACTGTACAGCATCCTCTTTTGCGAAAAATGAAAAAATTTTGAAAAAAAAGAGGGAAGCAGAAGAACAAACTACGACTGCATACATGTTGGTCTGTAAAAACTACGCAGTAGAAGTTTTCCAGCTAAAGTGAAAGAAACACGGAAATGAGGTAGCGTAATGTCACGACAATTTTTTTTTCTAACATCTGCTTTATTTGCAATTTGTTCTACTCGAACATTCGGCAAATACAATTGTATTTTACAATACATTATTGACATTAAGAAAAACCAGTTCCCAATTCTGGTTCTTTTCTAAGAAATGGTTTTTATAAACTGAATTGTCCAATTTCAGAGAGAAAAAACACAAAAACACACAAGAACAAACAATAAACGAAAATCACATGAAAATAACAATAA